CTGCAAGGCTGAGAAGCCCCTGCACACCCAGGGAGAAGCAACGTGCCAGATTTTGAGGAAGTGTGAAGAAAGCTCTAGCCTTCTACCGGGATAAGCGGCATAACACACTCCGTTCAGCTGCACTAACTACTAATTACTGAATGGTAAGTCGATCCCCTATAACAATCACGCCAGTTAATGGTGGATGTTGGCATCACAAAGATCTAATGAGGAGACCACCTCCTCATTCGTATGGGACCTCCACCTTCTCATTAGTATGGGGATCAGTCTAAAGATACCCATCTCGCAGGTGCAGCAGCACTATCCACTGGAAATCAACTCCATCCCAGTAGAAGGGAGTTACTCACTGCCAGTGAAGGCTGAGTCTTCGTCCTGGCTGAAGCCTGTCTACTGCCCAATTCTTGACCGGCGCTGGATAGAATCCCTGCAAAGATTCTTCTCAAGCCACTAGTTTAGCAATGACTTCACTTATTCCAAGAAAAAAAGACACACGCAGACAGACATACACTATTTTTTTTTTTTTTTGGCAGGGGATGGGGGACAGAGTTGCTTCTGTAGTCGTCTTCCTTTAGAAACCAAACATTTTCAGGATCTCCTCAGGTGATCTTGTCTTAACTTTAATGTGTGCAGACTCTCTTCACTAATGTACAAAAGAACAAGCTCTTGCTGTAAGCCAGCACTGAAACTGGGAGTGATACTCAAGTGATCACCGAGGTCATGGGCCATCCTCAGTGTCAGGACAAGTGCTGTAACACTACTGCATAGCTAGTGCAGAACAGCTTCCTTATTCAAACCATTGGAGAATTAGGATGGTTTCTTCTGCTTTATTACACATGAATTCATACTGAATTCACAAGCAAACTCAAAAGGCAGCACTATTTTATTTATTGGTGTAACAGACATATGCTTTACAAAACAAATCCAGAAGAATACACACAGACACCGACCTCTTACGAGTGCGTGTAACTTGCTCCATATCCAGCGCTGCCCTTCCATCTGAAAGAACCATTCCACAATCTATTTGACTCTATCAAATCCTTCTCCCTGAAGGCTTCTACTTGGTGCAAGACTGCCAGACCCTTCCAAAGGAAGCTTCCATAAAATACTTTCTTTCCTGCTCTGTAGTAGTCTCTTTCCTTTCTTGTTTCGGGGACAGAAATTCCTCAAGTGTTTTCCCACTCACTACATTCACTTTCCATTTTCTTTCTAACACTTGCATTGTCCTGGCTCTCCTTTTCCTTAAAGTATAAACTTGCTGTAATCTATCCATCTTGAATTTCTTTTCCCCTAATTGCATTTTCAATTACAATCATACTCCTCTTCCCTTACTTTCTTTCCAAGTTGACAGAGCATGCCCCAGAACTGCTGTATTGAGTTTCTTTTCTATCTGTAGACTTTCATTTCAGCACATTACTGAAGTTTCCAAGCGCCCCATTCCCTCCCCCATAAAAAGTCAACACTCAGTCCACACCTCTCTATGCCTTGAACACAGACTTGATGCTGCTAAAAATAAAAAAGGGCTACTTCAGTTTCCTCAGCAGTGTCCTCTCCTAGTTCTTTTACCTTATATTGCTTTTCCGCATTATTCTATTTCTTTTTCTAAGGTGTCTCTGAAGAATTCTCTCCTTACTCCTCTCTTTTCCTCCGTCTATATTTATTACTACATACCTTTATGTGCAATTAGAGGCATAGTAATTAAATTCAAATTGACAGCTCAAGTAGTGTAGTATTTGGTCCAAGTTAAAATCTTGGCTACAATTTGTCACCCAGTCCACACACTTTTGTCTCCCTTGTTGACTGCTGAGGAGATACCACCATACTGCTAACCCTTAAGTGTGAACTGTATTTTAGGTATGACTTTATTGCCGATCTCTACCATTCGAATACTCACCTAATACTCTCTGCCACCTCTAATACCTGGACTATTTCTAAAACTAGGAGACTAACTCTCCCTAAAAGAATTTTAGGGCAGCTATATTATCTATTGTTTCAATTGCTTCAAAATTGACTTCTAAGGAACTCAAAGTCAATTTTGCATCATGTATAAAGCACCAATAATTCTCCTAGACCATTATTTTCTCCACTGCACTCTCCTCTTTTTGACTCTTTTACTTCTATCACCCCTTGTTGAGCAAAACAAGGCACTTGCTTACAAGCTCCAAGACGTTCGTTCTATCAGCAACTTTTCTTAATCTCTTAATGGATAAAGACACATCACTCTTCTATTGCCCATTTGTTAAATTTTCAAAATTCACAGTTTAATTTTTCCCTTGGCTACTCTGTTGGCCAAGAAGTTTTCTTTTCCACTGACGCTGGCAAACACACTTTTCCTTAATATCTAGGCCACACACATGCTGACATCACTTGTTTCCTTGTTTATTTGTATTTACTTGCATCTCTTACATAGCCTGTGAACTCTCTAAAACACGGACAAGTCTTTTTCTTTTATGGTTGTAACATAGCCAACACAGCTGAGCAGGGCTTCAACTCTGAAACGCTGCAATTAATGGTGTCTGCATTCTTTGGAGCAATTAAATTGCTCTTTTGCAAGTATGCAAAGACTGTGCAAAGAATCTCTCTGTCCCTAGCTCCGGAAGCCCCCTCACATACAGCATCTCAGATTGCCAGTTATACCAGCCTCCACTGTCCAGAGAAATCATCCCACAAGCAGGAAAGTCAACATGACGGCCACATGAAAGGGCAGCAGCACTATATCTCACCTTTTCCATGCACACTCGCAAAGCACACCAGAAACCAGTATCTAGGCCAACATCACCAGAAAGTCACTGATACAACGAAGCAAACTGCTGCCAGGACTTTGTGCTCATTTACTATCAAGTGATTTATACTCTTCTCACCATATGGCAAAGTTTTCATCACCACTTCCACTGTCTTCTCATCTTTAGTAAGTTTTGTTCTAAGAAAAGACCTCTTCATAGAGGTCATTCACTTCGCTACAACAGACTGTTGAGATATTCTGGAAACAAAGAGCCAAGTCTTATGGAATACCTCCTGTTCCCCAAGGCCCTGTGCGTTCAGCACAGTGATCCTCACCTTGAGGACAAGATACAGAGCACAATTTTGAGAGTTATCTACAGAAGGACTCTGCTCTAACTCACAAGTCTGTATTCTATATCTGTATTTTCCTTCCAATAGCAATTTCCTGGAATGCAGGTGATTGCAATAGTTTGATTCAGAGAGAACAATTGTTAGCACATTTATAGGCGGGCCAAGCAGAAATGATGAGAGCTTGTCACCCCTACCATGGGGAAACTGTGACCTAACAAGCTATCTGAGCCCCACTTGGAAATATATTATTTTATTTTGTATAAACACAGGAGCAGGAGGTGATCCTTTGGAAACTTTCTTCCTCTGGCCTATTATTCTGCCCTCATCTCTATTTGCACTAGGCCAGAGCAAGTCTGAAAAAGGTCTTAAGTGAGAAGATGCCCCCGAAACACCACGTCGGACAATGACGTACGCTTATCTCTGCAACAGGACCAGCAGCCAGACTAAAAGACATTCTAGAAATACACTCCTCCTACACTCCTAAGTCCAAGAAGGATCTCTGTATCCTAGATGGTGAAATTTAAGGCATGTAAAACAGTCAAAGTGCATAAATAATTTATACATTTTTTAGAATTTTAGAATATGAGATCTAAAATCAGATTTTACAATATTAATCTCAATCCAAGAGACATAAGTGGTTCTAAAGAGCAAGAAACATGACTCCCTAGAAGTGAAAATTCTTGCTCAGTAACTACTAACAAATACTAATAAGAATGAGAAATTTGCCGAGAGAAAGAGCCAAGCGTATGAAACAGCTTGTGCATCCAGAATGTTAGCTTTACTTAAGCACATTAACATACAAGATGAGTCAAGTGTGAATATTAACTGAAGAGAAAGTAAATCCATCCTACACAATCTATGCATTTCTTGCATCGCTGAGCTTCCTTGGACAGCCTGCTATATGGCCTTCACAATGACGATTCCAAACACCAGAAAACTATGCAATAGCATTTCCCAAGTCCATCAATGATTCCAACCACCAGAAAACTAATCATGCAATAGCATTTCCCAAGTCCATCAAGCCCCCAGCGACAAGTAGATGAAAGGAATATTTTAACTGAAACGCAGAGAGACAGCTAAAATCTGAAAGGGAAAAAAAAAAATTTTTTTTTTTTTTTTTTAATCTCACGACTTAATTACAGATGCAAGATTAACATCAAATATACCTAATAGTGCCCCACCTTCATCATTCTAACAAATTTGTTGGAACTCCCCCCTTTTCACCTTCCAGTGTGGGAGCCATCTTCCCCCATGCTCTACAAAGGAAAAACATTCAATATAATGTGTTCTTAATGTCTCAGAAGTATTTGGATCTTCTAAATAATTTGGAGTTTGGAGAAGAAAAATCCACATTTAATCTTTGTTAGGTTATATCTTCAGATCTTTAGCAGCCACCAAGTCTGCCTAAATGTCTGTCAGACATGGGTACAATTTCCTAGCAATTCTCTCAGCCGCTTAAATGTTTGGGCAACAATCCAGAGACAAAGAGTCACAAGCACCACCTCAATCTAGGTGAGCAACTATGTCACTTGGTTGATATTTGCTCATAAGTTTTGTCATCTTTCTCAACTTTGACCCAAATTCTACGAATGCTCAACCATGTACAAAGAAGGTACCACAGGCTTTGGGGCTTCTTTTCCATCCTAAATTCAATTCTCCATAGAGCAGAAATAAATATTAGCTTACTAGCAGCATGTCAAAGGTGCTTTAGCCATGGAAAGTACTGTTAGTTTTATCAACACCACTGAAAAAACCTAGTTTTGCAGCACTCTGTTTTTGTTTCAGAAATGAAGTGACTATGAACACACTCTATTATTATTTTATAATCATTTTCTTCCCCTCCTTGCCTCATGCTCAACAGTTTCCCCTACCATAGCCAAAATTAAACAGAGTAAAATAGTTTAATAAATGCTATTTCTCAAGTGTCTTACCAATGCAGGCCATTGAATTTGTTTGATCTTTGATCCCTGAGTCTGGCTTGGGTCCTTTCTTTTTGCCCAGACCAGCTGGTACTCCACCAAGAACGTTGCAAAATCTTCATAAACTTTAACCCATTCTCGTTTTTCCCATTCAAGGTCATCAAATTCCACGTATACCTGGTGAAATTTAAAAACAGAAGACAGACACATTATTGCATGTATACACATGCTTGTATCTACATGCGCTATTGAAAGCATATTTTTGAAGTTCAATAAAATTTAGTATTACCCCTTTTGCTTCCATGGCATCGAAATGACATCATTAATCAGTTCCAGCACCATGGAAGAAATTTTTCCTGGCAGCTGAGGAGCACTATGCACTGTGCGTAGCTGTTGCGAGGCAGCTAGGTTTGCTAAAACATTGGCATTAACCCTGGATATCTTAGTGAATGAAAAGCACAACACTAAATAGTTAATATTATCATTCATGAAACACACAGAGCTATTACATATCAGTAAATAATTTTGGGGAATACTTTTCATTCTCAGTCCTAACATTTGTCATAAGTAATGCAAAAAGCAAACAAGAAAGGAAAAAAAAAAAAAAAAAAAAAGGAGCTCCACGGTGGCAGAGGGGGAAGCACTGAGATGGGAGACCCAGAAGGCTGGTTCTGGCCTCCTGAGCCTGCAGTCCCTGCTACTATGGGTGACTTCAACACAGGCCCCCTTCACATCTCCAAGCCCCACGAGGCTTCTTGCCGTCCCCATGCTCCACAGACGACTCTGCTGGAATCCCAGTTCTTGGATGGGGCAGGCAACAACTTTCCTCCCAGCTAAAGCAACCAGTACCAGCTGGCACCCATTTGGTCTCGTGCCATTGCTGTCCCGCAGTGCATACAGTCCTCGCAGACAGCCTGAGTCGCGTTGGCTAAGCTCAAAGTGCCAAGCCTTTGGTCTCCTCTCGTAAGGGACACGGGAACTTGGAGCCACAGTTCTCTCTGCATTACTTGCAGCAGCAAACTTTTCTGAATGCACTAGGCTTCAAAGTTACCGGATTAAAACCGCGAACAACTGCTCATCACACAGACTGGAGGACAAGGGAAGATGCTTTGTCGCTCCCCCAAATTCCAGCTTGCACCCAAGGACACTTCTGAAACTTGAGTTTCCTCCTCTCTGCTTCCAAGGACTTGAATCATTGTCCCAGAAAGTCTGTTGTCTTTTTAACCTCAGTTAATTTTAGGCCTGCAAAATATTTCCTTGTCTAGACTTTTCAAAACATGAACTGTGCAGCACTCCTTCCCCATCCCGCATATATGACTAATTGATACCAACGCTCTGCTCACTCCTGTTCAGTATCCCAGTTTTCCCCCAACTATTCTTTTTCTCTCCCGTATTACCTCCACTCTGTTCCTCCATGCTTCCTTCCTTTCTCTATTTGAAAACACCAGTCCAACTGAGAACTGCACTTCCCTCGTCTTATGGCAGCCCATTACCACACTTGCACTTATAATTCGTCCAATAAAACAGAAGAAACAAGTTTCCCTAGCTGCTGCTTCCCCTGCCAAGCTACCCTCAGTCTACGTGGTTGTTCCCCTCCTCAGAACCTCTACAAACCACCCAGTGCTCAGCAGAGGGGCAGCTATCGCTGCTCGCCTGGCTCCGTCTCCCGCCCTCCTCCAGGTACTGGCCCCGACCACAGCGCTCGGCTCATCCTCACCAGTCTCACTCTGGCTGGGGAGGGATCTTTTTGCTTCTCATGCCACCTTACTCATCATCCACTTTCTGGCTTGCTCTGAAACTCTGAATTTAATTAAGAGCGTGAACAGGACTGGCACCCTATACGAAGAGATTGCTTTTTGTAATTGGTTAAATAGCAAAATTTAAGGATGAGGTTCACGATGGCACATTCAAAATCATTTTTTGTAAAATAACCTTTCACCTTTCCCCGTTCTCTTTCTCCTGCCAATTCCCATCAATTGTTCTTGGCTGGTCAATCCCTCTTAAAATAAAAAAATATATATATGGAAAAAAGTTTGCCTTAGTCTATAACAGAGTGTAGGAGGTTAAGTGCAAGACTTTGCACAACAGCAAGTTTAAAAATAGAAAGCAAAATGGAATTAAGTTAATAAATGCTTTTGAAAAACACAGTTAAGTCTATCTGGAGTTAACAGCCTAGAAAGTGCCATGCTGAAACATACTGTATCTCCTGAAGAGCAGCCAAAGCTTGTGGATAACCGTGGCAGGATCTAACACTCGTGTGCGAGTTTTGCACCCCAAACATGCTGGGAGGTGGAGCGGGGAC